AGAGATCCAGGAATTGTTGAGGAAGAAGAGAACCACCCACCAAGCACACCTTGCACTGCCTTCCTGTCACGCAAGAAAAATGGCCTTTCGTCTTGCATGCAGCAAGCTCCAGCAGAAACTCCGTGACATCCAGAACAAGTGGTGGATCGATCTAGCTGAAAAAACTCAATTATGTGCAGATACTGGTGATCACAGAGGATTCTATGAGGCCCTGAAAACAGCATACGGGCCAACATACCAAATCCAAAACCCCCTACTCAGCACAGATGGTCAAACGCTTCTAACAGATAAATCTCCATTCTGAATCGATGGTCTGAACACTGTCAGACTCTTTTCAGTACCAACTGTGTAGTCCAAGACTCAGCAATTCAGTCCATCACACAACAACTGGTGAAATACGAATTGGATACTGCCCCCACTTTAGGAGAAACCCTCAAGGCCATACAGCAGGTGAAAATCGGCAAGGCAGTTGGGGTTGATGGAATTCCACCTGAACTCTGGAAATATGGGGGCCTTGCACTCCATGCTAAATTTCATGAGTTTGTGGTGCGCTGTTGGGAACTAGGTGAACTACCATCAGACCTTCGTGACGCAGTCATCATCACTTTGTATAAGAAGAAAGGTACTAAATCAGACTGCTCAAATTACCATGGTATTACTCTGCTCTCCGTTGCTGGCAAAATCCTGGCAAGGATACTCTTGAACAGACTAATACCCGCTGTAGCAGAAGGAATTCTACCTGAAAGTTAATGTGGTTTCAGAGCCAACAGGAGCGCCACATACATGGTGTTTGTTCTCAGACAACTGCAAGAGAAGTGTAGGGAACAGAACAAAGGTCTCTATGTAACCTTTGTTGAGCTCACCAAGGCTTTCGATACTGTGAGCAGAAAAGGTCTGTGGCAGATTTTGGAACATTTAGGTTGTCCCCCCAAGTTCCTTAAAATGATCATCTCACTCCATGGGGATCAGCACGGCCAAGTCAGATATGGTAATGCACTTTCTGAGCCCTTTCTAATAACTAACGGTGTGAAACAAGGCTGCGTTCTCGCACCAACCCTATTCACAATCTTTTTCAGCATGATGCTCCAAAGGGTCACGACAGACCTCGATGATCCTGATGGTATCTACATTTGATACCGTACTGATGGAAGCCTTTTCAACCTAAGGCGACTGAAGGCCCACACCAAGACCTTAAACCATCTTGTCCGGGAGCTGCTTTATGCTGATGACGCCGCCCTTGTCGCCCACACAGAAGCAGCTCTGCAGCGTTTAACATCCTGCTTTGCTGAGGCTGCTAAACTCTTTGGTCTGCAAGTCAGCTTAAAGAAGACAGAAGTTCTCCATCAACCTGCACCTCAGGAAGTCTTCCTTCATCCCCATATCACCACTGGCGAATCAGAGTTCGAATCAGTCCAGCAGTTTAATTGCCTAGGTAACCTCATCTCCTCATATGGTAAGATTGACAGAGAGATAGACAACAGGTTAGCAAAGGCATATAGTGCCTTCAGAAAGCTTCATAAAAGAGTTTGACAAAATAAGCACTTGAAGAAAAGTACAAAGATCAGTGTTTACAGAGCCATAGTGCTGTATACTCTCTTATACGGATCTGAATCATGGGTCATCTACCGCCACCACCTGCGTCTCCTAGAACACTTCCATCAACGCTGCCTCCGTACAATCCTAAACATCCACTGGTCAGATTATGTGACCAATACGTCTGTTCTAGAACAAGCAGCTATCACAAGTATTGAGGCCATGTTACTGAGAACACAGCTGCGATGGGCAGGGCACGTCTCCAGGATGAAGGACCACCGCCTCCCTAAGATCTTGCTTTATGGTGAACTTGCCACCGGCTGCCACAAGAGAGGAGCCCCAAAGAGAAGATACAAGGACTCCCTGAAACAACATCTCAGCCTTGGCCATATTGATCAACATAACTGGTCAACTCTGTCCTCCAATCGGGAGGTCTGGAGACACACCATCTATAACGCTGCTGATGCTTTTGAGAACGCACCCAGGATCACCCTTGAGGAGAAAAGACAACTCAGAAAGAACTGTGCCTTGCAGAATATACCACCTAAGGAGTCTTGAGACACGCCTGTCTCGTATTGGCCTTTTTAGCCACCAACGCGCTTGCAACAAACGTGGGTAGAACCCTTCCCAAATCTTCGTTCGTGAAGCCCAGCCATGATTTGATTTTGAGTACTAGGATTTATTTAAACATTTCATCCATATGAATGGGGCTTTGCCTACTTTGTATTCCATAAATTGGTGAGCATGTTTTGGAATTTGTGGAAAAGAACTGATCTGTCATGATGTGTTTTGGGGGGTTTCTTAGTATATAACATTCAAACATTCAGGATATGGAGCAGGTAGATACATAGAAGGACTGTGATTTGATGGAGATTGAAGAGAAAGGTTTTGAGGGAAGGTGTAGGGAAAATGGATATGCAGGTCAGGAAGCACAGAGCTGAGTGGGAGGGGAAAAAAAAGGAGTTTGCCTTCTTGAACCAGTCATATGATTAGTATGATATTGATATAATCAGCTTACTTTTGAGACTTTTTTTTCGTGGTTCTTTGCTCTACGATGACTACTGGTTGGAGTTTAGTTGGTCAAGTAAGGAACATGCTGACTTTTCTCAAGTGATACTCAGCTAGGGAAAAGTTTGAAGCTGCTGCTGTCTAAAATCGCTGTCTGTGTTAAAAACTCCATATGAACATAAACTATACTTAGCATGGTATGCTTAAGCAGTCTTGAGGAATTGATAATGCTCTCCTTGTGCTCAAATTGGAGGTACTTCTAAAATTGCTTCTTCTATAGTTCATTCATCTATCCTGTATTCAGATCTGTTTTGAAAAACTGGTGAATGTTGTTTCACTGTGTTCCGACAGTTGATGGCAAAAAATGGTTTTGTAGTGTAGGGAAACAAAAGCTTTTCCTTCTGTTTCTTACTCAACACTCAAATAGCATATAAAAAGAAAAGCTATAAATTATGTACCTTAGGTAGACATAAGTTCATAGTGTTACATGGATTTTTATAGGAGTTAAATGGAAATAAATGAATGTGTTATCATGGGTGCAGTGGTGTTTTCCCAGTTTCCACTATTCCCAGAATTGAGTTGAGCAAATATAACAAATCAGAAATGGAGGGGAGGAGTAGCACATGCTGGTACTGTAATTTAAACACATGGTCTGTGAAACATTACTGTGCACTGTTTTTACATCTGTGTTATCTTTACCTGTTTTCATTGCTTTGCAAAATTGACCAGCAGAAAAGTGAGAAAGTGTTCTCCAGTATGAAGGTTTATGTATAGTCCAGTATATATAGGGCAGTCTTTACTATGCTGTTCCGTGTTTTATAAATAAATAGGCTAAAAAAAAGAAATAAAGAAATCATGCTGTATGTGGCATGTTTCTCAGTGGAGCAGAATATTTGAAAACATACACAACCAGAGATGCAGTGTGCTTACAGTACCTTGCTGAGGTTTAAACCCAGCCACCAAACAGTTTAAATCATTGGTGCGACAATCAGAGGGAAGTCACATTCATCCAAAACATAGCCCAATACTAGCCACTGGACTAGTAGTGAAGAAAATTAACTCTATCCCAGACAAAACCAGCACATATCTCTATTAAATGAATTGTATTGTGACCCTACTACAGTGTGTCTGTAACTCTTTGACCTGGAATTGTTCACGTGCATGTTTAGAGAGGGTAAAAAATATGTATCTTAAAACAGTTTTAAAAACCAGTTTGTGGTATGTTCTACCTTATAACAGAAAGTACCTTCAGTGATTAGAATGCGATAAGTAATTCTGTATCAGTAATTGTTTTGGTGACTACTGTCCCATTTTATGTTCTTCTGAATTTAAAGGTTGCGATTTTGCTGAAGTAAATGAAAATGGGTGTTCCATGTAATCCAGAAAAACTTAATTTTAAGGATAATTAATCTAAGAAAAGAATGATACCAAGTTAATGATTCATTGGATTTGAATTGATAAAAAAAATCTGAGTATGAGTTTCAGTTGATACCAGTTCTGAATGAATGGATAACCAACTTTGTTGTCAATGTTCAGTGTGTATTGGGAGTTGTATTTTTGTCAACATGTACTTCTCAGTGTTGCTTAATTACATAAAGATAGCATTGATGCTTGTTACGAATAACCTACATTTGTTGTTCATTAGCAAAACATGCTAATCACATAGTCAAAAGGTGAAGTAATCATTTGTTACACATTTGTATTTTCATTGAATTGAATACGTTTATAAATGACAGCGCTGAATGTACTTTCCATTTTTTTCAAAACAGAAAGTTAGGCTCTGCAAAGGGCTGGGTGGATTACTTGGCAGTCTCACTGTCCTCATCTTTTCACGTTAGTTGAAAGGCACATCACTTTTACATTACTGCTTTAGTGTGAATGATTACTTAAATTGCCACAGAGAGATTGTTCAGTTGTTAGGGGTGAGGGGAGTAGTCCATCAAATAATCTGAGGACATGGTCTATGCACAGCAAGTTTGGGAAGACTAGTGGTTACTTACTAGCCAGCTCATTACCACTCCGTAAGCACTGCATATGAACTCATCGTGCCAAGGTACTGGACTGTGCTTGAGATTCCAGACATAACTGGCTTTGTTTGAAAGTCTGTGAAGTCACATTTAAAAATGGCAAATAACTAATCAATGAGAAGAGGGAAGAGAATGTTTAATTCAAGGATACAACATCTAGTTATGGTACAACAGTCTAGATTACGATATTCATGATGAACCTTATCTCCCGCTCTGATTGCTACAGCTGTTGGTTGGGAAAGTGATGGTAGCCAGGGTAAGGGTTTGAGAATCTGACATACAGTGATGCTTGGAGAGAATCCAAACGTTCTTGTTTGGTTTTGAATGTGGCTGTTGTTGGCAGGCTTAACTTTTTGTTGTTAAACTTTCTGTGCGAGCAGGTCATTGCTGTGAATGCATGACTGTCCTAACTCTCGCTTTGTTTTGTCTTAGTCATATTGATCAAACAACAACATGGCAAGATCCTAGGAAGGCCATGCTCTCCCAGATGAATGTTACAGCTCCCACTAGTCCTTCCGTGCAGCAGAACATCATGAACTCAGCATCGGGTAAGCAAAATCTGTATTTATGAAAAAATCATACAAATAAAGAAACTACAAGCTATTGTAATTGGGGAAGAACATTTAAGAAATGTTCTTCTATTTATCCTGGTTGAAAACTTTAAATTTGTTCATGTCTGATGCATCAAGCAAGAAGCTGATACTTGAAGTAAGAGATTTTTTATAATAATTGTGTTTATAATAGTCATGTTTTTATAATATTTATATTTATGCTGTAGTTCTTTGATTTGTGGGTTTTTTTCAAATGAATGGTTCAAATTTCTAAGGAAGCAGAATTTTTGTCTAGTTTCTTCTGGCTAAAAATGCTGTTAAATTGATAAAGACCAGAATTTCCATTAAATTAATGTCAATTTACATTAAAGCTTTTGTGCTTCTGCACTGTTCTTCTGCCTCCCCTTACTCACTGACTGGATGTAGTATACTGCAATTTATTTACATTTCCTACGTTTATTATGAACATCTCATTTTTTCCTGTCTTCTCTAAATGCATCAAGGGAACACTTAGAAAATCCTGTTTAGAAACAGAGATGTTTTGGTTTTCCTCTTGTTTTTCTATTATTTCCAAAATCCAGTATCATAATGATTATTTCTATAGCTGAGGAAGTCTGATGTCTTTTCCTGGAATACAGAATTGTTTTCAGCTGGTCTGGGGGGGGCATCACTAGGTAGCAGTAAAGTGTTCTTGTTCTTGCTGTAGAACCTGCTGTATGTTTTCAGAGCTCTCTTGTCCTTATTATGCAGACAGCAAGCAGATAAATTTGGTGCCATGCTAGTTTGAATGCTATGGTCTTTCCCTTGCTTTGTCACCTTCTGTCTGTCACGGAGGTTCATGTTATATTTATTTTCTCACAGTCTGATTGTATTTTGTGTATGTCTGCTGTTCCTGTACTACACAAAGGTTATTTCTCTGGTGCTGCTCTTTGTGGTCCGTTTAGGCAGCTTTGTTTCATGCTGCAATTCATGTGCTGCAGACAATACTGAAAGATTAACAGGCGTGACCAAACTGTGCTGTTCATGACTGAGAAGTAGAGGGGAAGTTAATCAAACTTTTTGCTGGCTAGGCCAGGAGGCTGGATTATCTTGAAACAAATGAGTCCTGTTCAAGTTCAGGAAGTCGTGATTCACAGCAATTAAGGTCTCAGGCTCTTATATGAAAATAAAATAGCTTGATTATTTTTTCTGTAAATCTGTCTCAGGAAATCTGCAGCAGTAGAGGTGACATGTTTTTACAGGGACACTTCTGAAGAACAGAGAATAGGAGAAAGGAAACAATTCCCTTGGTCTATCTTGGTTTTTGGCTTATCTTGTTTGTGCTAAAACAAGGTGCTTGCTGTTTCAATATTGACATAAATTCTGTATTTTCAGTTAACTCCTCAAACCTTCAGTTGTACCAAGAATTGATAGGAAAAAATACTGATAGTAAAGTAGGATTCATTTTAGGTACTTAAAAAGAAATTAAGAGTCTTTAGCAAAAAAATTACCTTTAATTGTAACAAGGTAACAAACTAGAAGAGAACCTAGCAATCAGCACACGAGGACTATATTTGAAAGAAAATAAAGAATTTACATGTAATTGCCTGGTGTGTGTGACTCAGTGGTGCCACATAGATATTGTTGCTCATGCAATAAAAACCAGTTCAGATGTTTAAGTGGGTTGTCTTGTGATTTGAGAAAGCACTTATTTAAATACAGGTTTATTGAACATTTATTTTTAATTTCACATATCATACTGTGTTGAATATCAACTGAAAATCATGTAAAGTTTTTTTCCACCAGTTCTCTGAATTGGATAAAGTGCATGAAGAACTCAGAACTTCTCTGTATACTGAGTTACATGTTTACATGGTGTTAGGGTTTTTTAAGCTTAAATCAGTTGAGGTAGTATGACTTGGAACTGGCTCTTTGGATACATCTGCTTACCCTTATCTTATTTGCTATTAACAAAAGTCTGCTTGGAATTAAATAATGATGAACCTGCATTTATTGGGTACAGTTCTTTTTCTGATACCTGATTTGGCAAATGTTTAGTACTAACTTTAAATTATGACTGTATATTTATTTTTCATAAAGTCTCTTATATCTATTTTTGTTGTTTTTTACTACTGAGTTCACGGTAGCTTATGCTTCCATGGTGGCCTCTTAAAAAATCTTTGAGAGAAATGGAAAAATCAAGTAATTCTTGTACCATTTCAGCATAGTGGAACTTAAATCTTAGTGTCAACGTCATGGCTATAAGACTGCTTAATGTTCTAATTTGGATATTCATCCTCAAGAACTGGGAAATAAAGCTGAGACCTTTAAGACAGAAGTTTCCTGTTATGAAATGTTGCTGGCAGTGAAACATGCCCTAGTGCTATGAGAGTCTTTCATGAAAGATATTGGGAAAAACTGAGCGTAAGTATTGTGACAGCTGGAGGTCACTGGCTTGCAAAAATAGGTCTGAAATGCCACAAGGGAGAATGTTTTGCTTTCTGTATAGACCTTGTATAGTGCTTGTTAATTGTAACCCTTAATCAAAGTTACTGTCCGAGTTTTAATGTTACCACCATAGGAGCTTGTGTGTAAAGTTACTGTGATAAAACACAAGAGAGATTTTTGGGAGCTGTCTCAAAAGTCTTTAGGAGCTTTAACTGTTTAGCCAGAATTAGAATTCCCATCATTAGCTAGAATTAAGAACAGGAAAGCAAACAGAAGAGGCAGAGAGAGGAGACCTCTGAAAGCTGCCGTGTGCATATTGGAGATAAATCTGTTCTTTTTGGATAAATAGGGAAACTAGAACCCAGAGAAAACGGGAAGAAAGCATAACTAGAAGGTGTCATAAGGGTAAGGGCAAGTCAAAAGATTGTTCAAAATATAAAAATGGGAAAGATGTAGTTTAGCATGAGGTTGAAATTTTTAGGTTGTTTTAAGAAATTCCATCTCTTCACGCACTTGAGACTGGATGAGAACCCATGTATCTTTCTGCATGTAATGTTCCTTTGAGGAAGTTAATAGACATCTGATCCAGCTTTATCTGTTCCTGGCATGATTTTGTGAATGAATTATTTTTTGAGTGTTAGTTAGCATGATACCTTTACGAGAAGGCATCAGAGTGAAAAGTGAGGGGTTTTTTTTTGTCTCAGTCCTGCTGATCTTAGCTTGCTACACATAATCAACTAAAATAATTTGGGCCATATGTATGCAGAGAAAGCAGCCCAGTGCTCTTTTAGATGGCATTTGTTGGTTAATCTTCTGTGAAATACAATTGCATATTCACATCAATAGTGGGAAGGAAACAATCCTGTTAATTGTAAATATCCCACATGTATATAAAAATTATTTGTGACTGTTCTGATTTTTTGTGTTGTTTCTAACCATTTTTTCCCTGAAGGTATTACAGAAGAAACTATGTTCTTCTGCCTTCATTTAAAACAAACAAACAAACAAAAAGTAGTAATAATGGTACATTGTTCTTCTGAGGAACATCTCCTACACATCTCTTACTGAGGTAAAATTATACATTTGAAAATAAACAGTGGCTGTTTCTTACACAATTGCAGTTGATATAGCAGAGGTGGGATAGTAATTGTAGTTACATACTTCGGTTCTTCAGATACTTTTACTTTCTGAATCATGTTTGATTTACTTTACTGCTTACTTTAGCCTCTTCTGCTTGCACATAGACCTTAGATAATTAGCTTTGGAGCAGATTACTTGTCTTTGTCCTCTTTTGTCTTCAGTCTTATGTGGCAGTTTTCAGTTGGGTTTCCCAATGAGAGTTTATTGACCTAGTGCAATTCTTTTGTCTCTTAAGGTGAGACTCTTAAAGTAGTGCCATGTTAAAGGTTGGTAGGAAAATGAACACTCAAATTCATAACTTATGGGTGATAGGAGGGTAGGAAGGAATATGCCAGTAAATAAAACAAGTTCAAGCTGTTCTCTTAGGTTCTTGCTCACTTCAATTAGATGTTTCTCCTCTACGTAGCCAGTCTTACTACAAATTCTGCTTTGTGTACAGTCAACACTATATACGATCTGTTGTGAAAATCAAGTTTCTAAGTATTTCCATGACAGTAATGTTCATTATTTCTTCATCTGCAAAAAACGCCCCTTTTTAAATAGTGTCCATTTGTAATTTTTACTAATTTGACAGGATAAATATCTACTCTAGGTAAATTTTGTAGACTTCGCTATAATTTTAAAAAGTTTTGGAATTACAGTGTCAGTGCATGAAGGGAAAAATTTCAGCTGTCACAGAAAAAGATTAGGAAAGTTCTTGGAGCTCAGTGTTTGTATTAGGTGAGGTGATTCCTGTTGTCGAATATAGGTGTTCTAGTTCCTACATTTTCTATACATATTCTTTTAGTATATAGATACAGCTTCCCTCTAATATGCATTGACCTTTTGATAAAATATGGCTTTATTTACATTTATTTTACAATTAAATCTAAGAAACTGTAGGGACTTGGAAGACTCCCTGTGTATCCCAGTATAGTTGGAATCTCTACTAAATTTTTTCTTTGTTACTCTTGCTGTTGTTCTCTGCCAGCAGCAAGCTCTGCTTTGCATTCCGTGTTTCATGGCATATGAGAAGGTAAAAAACATCTCACAAAATGTGGAGACATGCACCAAAGAGACGTGTACACCAGCTTTTGACATTACATGTTATTTATATTGTTACACCATTATATGAATATTTAGTTACAGAAGAATGCCTTATCAGTAGTTATGTACAGATGGCTTGCATTTGGAAATTGGAATTTAAATTTTTTATGACTTTGTCCTTAAAAGTACCACAGTGCAGGGTGAGTTGCCTAGAAGGGTTGTCTCTTCCTTTGCTAATAATCTCATAGAATTGTAAACTTATGATTGTGATAGTGTTCTATTGACCTAAGAAGCACCAAACAGAACTGGTAGGAACCCATGTCACAGGGATATTGTTGGTGGGCAGACTGGAAAAGTACTTGAAAGATATTTTGGTACCTAGTAAGCAGACAGAATCTAGTTCAAGGAATAACTTGAGATAGAATCATAGAATATCCTGAGTTTAGAAGGGACCCACAAGGATCATTGAAGTCCAACTCCTGGCCCTACACATGAATGTCCCAAGAATCCCACCATATGCCCAAGAGCATTGGGCAAATGCTTCTTGAACTCTGGCAGACTTGATGCTTTGACCACTTCCCTGGAGAGCCTCTTCCAGTGCCGAGCATACTTGGAGGCCAAGGGACTGTTCATAGCCTCTTTAGCTTTTAGGTCTATATGTGTATTCAGTGCTTTATTTAAAAGTTTGTAGACTATGGCACTCACTAAATGGGCTGTTTTCAGTAACAGGATCTGTCCATCACACCAGGCTAGATGTCTGGACTAAATGGACCTTTGGTTAGACCCATCATTGCTGTTTCTGTACCACGTGGGCTACAGTAACTGTGGAAATTTAGTGAGAAGGTCTGAAGAGCAGCAATATAGGACTTAGATAACTGAAGTCACAAAAGCTAGTGCTGGAAATTCTGTTCTTATTGAGCCTTTTGGGTGAAAAGGGACATGTAATTGTGAAGGAATTTTCCTAGATGCACTGGATGAATGTGCCTGCTATTCCTCAGCATGGTTTTCCGTCATTCCTCTGGTACTTGCCTCTAATACAGTTTGTCAGACAACCAGTTAGAAAATCAGACTTCTAGTTTCACAGTTACTCACCAGTTACAAAAGCAAACAGGAATTACAGAAAGCAGTACTAATCAATTTTTGAACTACCATTTCAACATGTAAGGATGACAGCAGAAATATGAGAGCAGTTTGTTGTCCAAGAAGAAAGCAACGCTGTTAATGCCAAAAGTTTGTATAGAGAAAAGTTCTGTTTCTGCAGTCATTGATGGCACTTAGCAAGGAAGGTTTGCTGCTGTGACAGCCAGGTGAGCAGATGGACCTTTCCTGTCCTGTTCCACAGCTGTGCATTTTATTTGGAAGAAGAACCTTGCCCAGGTTTGTCTCCAGTAAGCTAGTACTCATCAGATCACTGACTCTCATAAGTAGTATTGTTCCTAGGTAGGTGGACTGATCAGCTCCTGGCAACCTGCTTCAAAGGCATTTTGTTCTTATTTGTCACGAAGGAACATGCTGGACCAGTATTGACTTCAGTGTTCAGCAGGACTGACACCCCAAGGCTGGTTTTGTTTTTCCTAGAGCCAGATGGGGTTTTTTTGGCTTCGCAGTTCAAAAGAGAATTTCTTGCTGAGTTTCTCCAAGTGATGTGTGGCTTAGATGGACTCTGAAGAGAGTGATAGTGAGGTCTGCCACATGGCTAGTGTGTTGGCTTAGCAGTCAAGGAGTGTTTTCAGTTCTTCATTAGTTTCTGCACTTAGATGATGGGGGCCATGTCACTGTGCTCCTGTGCACCAGTTTTATAAAATACCATCTCACTGATTGTCTGGCTGGTCTTTGGGTGTAACAAAAGACAGGGTTCTTTGCACTGGAGCCTTCAACTCTGCATCAAAGTCCTTTTGTACAGTGAATATGTTAGGAAGTATCGTCATTCTTTCTTGCCTGTTCTGTTCACTAGCTTCTGATAAAAGTTGAGGTTCTTGTTACTTGTACTTTAAAGTTTATGAGCATTAGGAATGGGAAGGAAATGTCCAGTTTTCACTGTTTTTCCTCACTTGAAAACCTGTAGCTCTAATGGTGGACTAGTGAAGTTGCTAGAGAAGGGCATTGTTTTCTGAGCCAAAATGAAAGTTTAAATTAGAAATGTAGTTTGCAAGGGATCTTCAAAGACCACAAGAAATTCTTGTCCTGGTTATGCCTTGAGATATTACTGGAACGCAATCAAATTATTGTTTTACTCTTTTTGATGTTTCTCCAAGAACATCTTTTGAGATTAAGCAAACAAATCTATCCTGCTCCCCAAGTCCCTCCCAGCTTTAGACTGAATTTTTCAGAAGGAGCACAACTTCAGGACAAAATGACAGTCAAGAGCTAATATAGTTTGAAGATGCATATAGGAGGTATTTATCAGATACATATATTTTTGTGTGTATATCTGAATCTCATGTGTGAAATTATGATGTTTGTGCATACTTAGTGTATCTTATATTATACAGAATAGTCTGTTAGTCCAAGTCTAACAGCCAGATAGCTTTTGGTAGTGTATTACTGTATTATACTGAGGAAGTGTGGAAGGAGAGTTTGTAATAGGACAGCTTGCTGCTGCAGCAGGTTTTGTTCTAATTTCTTTTCTATCCTTAACATTGTAGTGGATCTTTATATAATTTTAGGATTGTACTTAAATCTAAAATGCAGGGAAGATATTCCTGTATCTAATTTAGCTATTTTAAAAAATAGTGTCTTTGTGAGGATAAGAATTCAAAACTATATGTTTTTTAAGCACCTGCCAGATGAGATGAATGTAACTTTAAGAATAGTTTTCAGTCTAAGGAAAATACAGATGGATGTACATATAGAGATGGGAATGAGTGGTTTAAGAACTGTGTAGGAATGAAAGGTGGTTTCTTGAAAGCTGCTGATTAGAACATAAGGGGAGCCCTCCTAAGGCTCTGTGTTTAGACATTAGCTGTGAACTCCACAAAACCATCACCTACCTCCCTTTTAGCATTTTCTAAAAGCAGTTTTCCCTGTGTGTGCCTTTCTGCTTGTAGAGGTGTGTAGCACTGCTGTTCATAGCACTGTGTCTCTGGCTGCTCGTGGTGTCTTCTTACCTTTGCTTTGTCATTGCTTGTTTGCCTGCCCTGTTCTTCAGGTTTGCATTTTTGCCTGCTTAAACCTTTCATGTTTTCACAGAAAGTTATGAGGTAAAGGGAAAATGAGTTTTGTCACTTTTTTTAATTGTTTTTGAAAGAGGAATATTTCAGAATCTCCTCAGTGTTATCGTGTTGCTGCTGCTGTGCTTTAATCACTAGATGAACTTTCCTATGAGAAGTAGAATATGTTTATTCTTCTTTCTCCTGGTGCTCATGCTGGTTTCATTCTGGCAGGCTTGACTTATTGCTGGTTTTATACTATAATGCTATATCAGAAGGAAGTGTCAGAAGCATATGAAAGGATGCAAACAAGTTTTAAAACTAAACTCCAAATCCTAAATCAAAATGATAGAAGTGTTTTCTGTTCCTTGATTTCCCACTCAGCACTTCTTTGCCCTTATCCCAGAAATGTTAGACATGAGCTTGAAACTCTTCTGTTTCATGTACTGTTATATATGTAAAATGTTGAAATTTTTTTTAGATCAATTTCAGCTGGAGCAAACAAGAGCCCGCCATCAACTCCTTCCTTCTATATTGCAGGCCCACTCCCCGATGGATGGGAACAAGCTATGACCCAGGATGGAGAAATTTACTACATAAACCATAAGAACAAGACCACATCTTGGCTAGACCCAAGGCTTGACCCACGCTTTGGTAAAAGTTCATCTCAATTCAGAATTATTGACTTGCTTCAGTTCGCTCAGCTTTAATTTTGCAGGCCTATTTTCAAAACTTCATAGTACAATTAAAATATATTTTAATTTGAGTTACAGAGACCTTATTTAAATAATAATTTTTTTAAGATAAAAACTATAAGTATATATCCTTCAGGACTGTATGTTACCCAAGTTTCTAATGCTACGGGTTGGTATTTTGCCATATGATCCATACAGTTCCCAAAAGTGGTGACATTCAGAAATTACTTTATTTAGAGACAGTTTCAGCCAAGCTCAGTCTTCCCTTTAAAATTGCAAAACTTTACCACAGAAGAACCTTTTAATTCCCAAACAAATATTTGCTTTCCTTTGTGCTGTCTTAAGAGGGCATTGTCAAATAATAATTTATGCTGTTTAAATTCACTTGAAATATATACCAGCTTATAATTCCAGCTTGTCACAGTGATGATCATAACAAAACCTTCTGTTTTAAACAGTACGGTGAGAAATTAAATTAGTTTTGTTGTTTCTACTTTAGTAATCTTTTGTGGGGTAAAGACTATGTAATATTGGAAATAGCAATAGTAAGTTAAGTGAAGGATCACAAAATCTAGACGTAGAAATTCAAAGAAACAGAACTAATATGTAATTTTTTCAGTAATGTTTTTGATCCATATTAAGAGCAGAACTGCAGACTTTTCAGTAAAATATTGGCACTGATGACTATGAAAAGCAATCGTGTATAATATGAAGACTCTAAACTAGTTTCTTAGATTGTCCAAGTAATGTATTTAAAGTAGCATTACCATTTCTGTTTTTATATAAAGCTGTGACCTGTATGTGTAAGCCTTATTAGCTGTATTAATTTACCCTTGATTTGTTTTCCCAATAACTTACTATTTTCAACTCCTTCGGATTGTAGTTATTTTTCCAGAGCCATGGAAAAACAGTAGGGGTAAAAAAAAAAAAAAAAAAAAAAAAGAAGATATCATTGTGGTTTTCAGGCTTTACTTTTGGACTCAGTGCAGCCAAATGAAAACAGTGTGCAGATCACTGAGTAGGTCAGGCTGAGGGGATACAAAACCTTTGAAGCTTTACAGGGGTTGACCTAACAACAACTGTGGGCCCCTTTTGGGAGAGGCATTAACTCCATGAATGCCATATAAATACAGAGCTACAAAACTCAACAGTCACTGTTCTGTTTTGTTTTCTGACTTGACTGTTAGAAATTCCTGCATTTTTTTGTTTTTAGGCTTGAGTGTGTACTTAAAACATCCATTTGCTCTTATGGAGAACACCAGATTGTCCCAGTTTGTTTATAAACTGCTCACCAGTTTGTAGACAGGTTGAACCACTGTGCAACTTGAGTCCAAAGGTGGGGCGTCAGCTTTGGCAACTGTCCATACTGGCTTTAACACCAGCCAGAGCTACAGACCTGTTTGCGTGTTGCAAGAGGTGTGTGTGGGTAATTTGCAACTTCACAATTACTTAATATGTGAATAAGGCTGGAAAGGAAGCAGTCATTTTGAAAATCAGTGTTGCCTTTTGCAGTCAATTATATTTACTCAGGTAATCTTGCAGGGTATCTATTTTTCTTTACATGTATTACTTTATAGTTTCCAGTGATGAGCTGGAATTAAAAAGGAGTGTGAAAAAGGCCTTAATTGACAGAAGTCATGAGTGAGATGAATCTTGCTTTTCAGAACTGTTTTGTACTCCTGTAAATAGAGTAGTCTAACTGTAAGGGCAAAAGCTACTTGTCTTGTGCATACTGAAACTCCATCAAATGTTAAGGCTGTGCAGTTAAACCGAAAGAAGTTAGAAATGTCCAAAAGACTGATTAAGGGTTTCTTACTGCATAGCTTCCCTTTTTGGGCCCACTGCGTATGTGTATCCCAGACAGGCTTGAGTACATGCCAAGGCTCTTTATTTTGTGGTCGGACTTTTAATCTGTTCCAGACCTTTTCAGTCAAAGAGCTCAAGTGTAACTGAAAGGGGCAGGAAAGGAGAAAAAAAAAGCATGTGGGCTCTTCTGATCTAGAGTGATGGCAAATAGAGACAAGCTGCTAGCTGCTGTTGAGCTTGAAGAAGTTTTCCTTGAAAACTTAAGTTGTACACATTGTATTGTGGTTTATGTTTTTATCGTTTGAGCCAAGAAAATACAAAATCTTATGCCTGTTGCTTTCTCACTTGTGACCTCCTTAAGTCACTCCAGTCATGAAGAAAAAAAATCTCTTTGACAGAGTTAACTTACTGGGCTTTGTATTTATTTATCATGTGGAGATCCTCGACAAATATGCGCTGTGACGCTAAATAGCATGCAAATGACTCAGAAGTTTACCTTTCTATGCTTAATATAGATTGAAACTCCTGTTGGGTTTTCCCCCCCCTTTCTGTCACTGTGTTGTAATGTAAGGGCTTGGTTTTCACTATTTTTTGACGAATAACGCTTTCAGAAGCAGAGTGAAATCATTTTTGTCATGTCAAAGCTTTTGGTTATTACAGTTATATTAATGTTGATTGAAAATAAAGGAGAAATTAATTTCTTTCTCGATACTGCCACTTTCACCAATCTTAAGAACCATTGAAGAAAACAAACCTATTGAATGGCATGTGCAAACATACTCTTCTGTTCCAATATTCAAAACCAGAAGGTATGAAGAGTTTTTGCTCTTATTGCTTCTGAATTGCCAGCTTCCAGGGAGACAACCTTTAGATCTATGTTCCTCATCAGATGGAAACTTTGCATTCATCTTTATTTTCTCTAGTAAGTGTGCATATACCTCTTTTTGAAACAGTGCTCTGAATTTTCCATTATTGTGGCTAGAAAAGAGAAAGGAAGGAGGATCAGTTTGAAAAAATTATTTTCGGTGGACTTACTGACTTGGTAAGGCAAATTTTGGTGTTGCATTCATGCTTTTAAGCAGAAAATAAAAGAATTTAGTTAATATGGATACTTTCTTGGAGCAGACTTTTAGAAATAAATCAGATAAGAGCCCCTGTTAGAATACCCAGCTGTGGAGTAGGCTAGGTCTAAAACCTGAGTTGGAGATAAAAACTTTGTTCCAAGACTCAGGTCTAACATCTTTGAAATGAGATTGAGGTCTTCAGCTACACCACTTAAATGGCAGTGAAGTCTTGTGGCTCAGACGTTTGTCCTCCAAGTGTATGACATATGACTTAAAAGCAGTTTTGCATTAGGAGAATTCACAAACTTTAAAATCTAGGAAAGAACTGAGTATGAAAGGAGGGTCTTCTTAACCAAGCACAGGCAGTCGTAAAAGGTGACATGGGATCAAACGAATGGGAATGGGGGCGGGGGGTCGTCCTTAGGCCTGTGTCAGCAGAATTCTTGTCTAGTGGAGCATCTGGTACAAACATGCTGTCCTACCTTCTCAGTGCCTTTAGAGGTCTCAGAGTAAGGTGCTTCAAATTGCCTTTTTTTTGAATGTGGAAGGTGGTTTTTTTTTTCTTTAAGGTAATTGAACTGTCAGATTGAGCTCGTGTTTTGGACTGTTTTGTAATTTCTGCTGTTGTTCACTGATCATTTTTCACAGATTCTTCTGGATTTTTAAGCCTTCCAGATAACTTAATGCATTTTCTTGATAGTTGAAGAACATCTGGAAAGGAGGCAGGTCAGCTATGCATTCTGAGTGGCTGGAGCTGGTGAAGTAGAACATCTGCTTTTTCTATAAAATTAAATTTCCTAGTACCAATCGAAGTTTGGAATCATTCAACTTTATTGCTACAAGTTTCCAAGACTTGACTTTTGTATCAAATGCCGTTGAAGGGATTTTAACTGTTACTTAAGTTAGCAGATGATAGGACTTGGCTTTAAAATGCAACTTAAAATTATTTGCCTTTTGAGGATACTTAATTTGTTAAATTCAAAGATGGAACAGCAAACTTGAAGTGGGAAAATTCTGGAAACTGACAGTTCATTTCTGTCTGAGTTGGGTTAAGTCTGGTTTAGAAGCAGAAAGTACTCCATTAGAGTAGTCAGACAAGTGTCTGCAAGGATTGGAGTAAAGGAAGATACTGTTTCAGCTTCCTTGTTATTTTGTTCCAGACTTCGGTTTTTAAGAGTTTGTAAGTAGTGATCATACCGGTGTTACACACGCCCAGTCTTCTTCCTTCTGTTCTTTCAATTGTCGAAGGTGCAATAATGGGGTATGAAGCAAAAGATGTGACCTCAGGTTGAAATCATTGCCACGACTCACTCTCTCACTCCCACTTAGAGATTATGTTAATGTTCTTTGAAGTTCTGCATGAATTTCTGTTGAGGGGGAAGGTATGGCAAGTCAGTGTTTAATATTATTATGGAAAGTGCCATAGGGGCTCTCTGTACAGTAGGTGCTTGAACTGCACAAGTAGGAAATGGAATAAAACTGATGATGACAGTAGGACTATAGAGAACGTGCATCAAGATTTTCTGCTTTCTTTTTTATGTAGTGTAAAAACATTACACCTTTGAAACAATAAAAAGGGCTTTGTTTCAATTAAATGTACGTGTAATTGAAACGTATTTATCATTTCTATTTTAAAAAAAGGCAAGCAAACACACAACAAGCTTGTAATTCACTTAAAAGCTTAAGCTTCAGAGCATCTGCTGTTTTTTAAGTATCAAAATTAGAAGGAAGTATTCCATAGTGTTGCTTTCTTATCCCTTTCCTGTCTAGCTCTTTGTTTAATATATGTGTCTTCAAATTGGTTTGCAGGAGCCTTTCCAGATGGAGATTTGTGGACAAGATAGAACGGGAACCCTAGACTGAAAAAGTGGTTTTTGGCCTTTGTCTAGTCAAAAAGAAAACCAGCCAGACCTTGTGTCTGGTCATAGTAGCATTTCAGACTTTTTAAGTTCCAGATCTGCCTTCCATTTTTGCACAAAAAGCAAAGTATGAGCCACAAGTGGTTTTGATCTGCAAATGCAATGAAATACCCTCTTTACATACTCCTTAAAACAAAGAGGATTTGACTTATCTAGAAGGTCTAGTGGTA